TTAGCAGTTTTGATCTAGTGCATACGAGTTAAACATCCGTAACTACGAAAACAGACAAGACACGATAACCTAGGAAACAAAAGTAAAAAAAAAAAAATGTAGAATTTGGTATCTGCTGAAATGAACTCTATATACAAGCCTAGACTCTAGTCCTTTATCTTGCCATATCTTGAACTGTTCAATCACTTGATCGTGAGCTTGTTTTTTTCATTTTTTTTGGTAATGGTTCGAATACGCTGATAACACTGTATGTGCGGTTATAGCTGAAGCTAAAGATGAGAAAGCCTTCTCAGAAGTGGAGGCATCCGAAGAATCTACCGAAGCCAAGGAAGAAGAGGAAGTTTCACCCGCACCCGTAGCAGACGCGGGTGCTGAGGAAGCAGCAGCAAAGCAGGATGATGATTCTGAAGCAGAAACAACTGGAGCAACCTTCACCTACGAACAGCTACAAGCGAAATCCGAGAAACCAGTGAGAGGAATTGACTTCAAACGCAGAGAGGTGAGTGAATCAGTTGAGCAAAACTACCCTTTTAATTTGAGCATAAATTGTCGGTTATCTTATCCCTCAAACCGATCCATCAGGCTTACCTGTCTGAGGAAGAGTTCAAGACTGTATTTGGGATAGAGAAAGAAGCATTCTACAAATTGCCTAGGTGGAAGCAAGATATGCTCAAGAAGAAATTCGACTTGTTCTAAGAATTCTCCAAAACATTCCAGGCGGGAAGCATCGTGATCTTCCAATTCAGATACAGTAAGAACAAAGACACGATTTGTCATTGTGTTACTGGTTACGTGGTGACCTCAATGCTGCAGCTTTGAAGACGATGACCACTTCATTTTTTCTTTCTTTATAAACAAAAAAAAACAAAAAAAGTCAGTTTCCCTTTATTGTTTTGGTTTATCAGAAAGAATGATCTATCATGGGTGGTGGGTTTGGATTTTAGGTTTTGGGTTTGATTCTTCCTATTCTTATCACGGTGATGTGTTTTTGTAATCATTGATTGATCACAAACTGGTGTTCTTTTCTTTCTTGTTTTTTTTTTGGGGGCCAGGACAGTTGTGTGGTGGTGGTTAGTAAATTCTTTGATTTGGATTTTCACATTACTTGATTATAAGACCAATGTCTACTTGTAAACTCATGAAACTTCAATGTATCAGTGTTTATGCGTTTGACAATTTAGACACGCCATTTAATTTAGTTGTTCTACCTCTATGTGTATACAGTATATATATGTTATAGTTTATCGGTGAAGTTGTATTAGTACATAACAGAATTATAATTTCTACATTGCACATACATTCTTTGACAATTAAATTTAAACTGGCAACTATATATCCCATAATTAATCTTGTTTTCTATTTATAAATTCTAGTTACCTAACGAAACTAGAGCAGCCTATAATGTATGTTTGTTGAATTTAGATGTACTTGAATTCTCTTTCAAAATCATGAAAGTGGCTATCAAAGAAAGGGAATTACAGAGCAACAACCACATTTATGTCTGACCTGGTCTCCACCAATTTGGTATCTTTTTCTTATCTTTCTCTTTTTTTTTTTTTACTGTGCAACAAATCAAGGGAACAAATTACATGTAGTTGGGAATCAGAATGATTACATCTAAATTGCATTGTTTTTCCCGCGTGATGATTAATAATGAAACACACAGAAGATCTGTTGAATCAAATAAAAGTATGAAGACAGACTATATTTGAGACTTTGCCTACGCGATTATTTGAGACTTTTGCTTTTGCCTAAACGAACTGCACTTATACGAATCGCATTAAACGTTATCTAACAAAAATCGTTTAAATTTTAAAAACAATAAAACTAAAATTTCAAAACTCGTTTTATCTTGTAGTTTGTAAACATTACTTGAAAAAAAAAAAAAAATCATCGTTAATCTGACGTTGGTCTTGGAAAACGGACATAAAAGTCTTACTGTAGAATTTACGTACGGAGTATGAGTACTTTTGGCTGAGCAATAGAAACCAAACGAACAACGTTTTAAGCCGAGAGGCTGATCATTGAGAGCAGCCATATTATAGTGACATATATTAGTCTTGCACGAACTCTCCCGGGTTAGAGGGCCCACACTTCGAAAGGAAAAACGAAACTCGAATCACGAATGGTTTATTGACACGTGTATGAAAAACGATTGTCGGTTCCTTTTTCACCGGCTCATTATTTTTTATGATGTGAATATAGTACTTTTGTTTCTTAAGGATACTTTTTTATAGATGAAAATAAGAAAATTGAAAGAAAGACTAGTAAACAATGATTCTTTAGAAATCAACATATTATAAACCTCACGTTTCTTCTCTTCTTTTACCTCCACAAATATATATTCCAATAAGTTAACTAACGAATATTTTTTTATATAAAGAACTAACGAATATTATTGAATAAACAAGATGCATTTTAGCAAGGAGTATGTTATGTTATTGTTAATTTAGTAGTTATAATTTTTTTTCATCCTTTAGATCATGTAACATAAACTTCCAATTTCCAAACTATGTAGTAGTAGGTTAATGGTTTTCATTTCTTGAAAAGTTATTGTATACATATATATACATATATATACATATATATATATGTTCATTCCAAATAATTTTTTTTTTCAAATGCGAAATATTTAACTACTTCAGTCAATCAAAATAATGTTATATTTTAGATTCATTAAGAAAATCAGCGAGTGGACTAGTCCAGTGGCTACAATTACATAAAGAAATTAATTGGATAATAAAATTTACATCACCCGCAATTTTTAAATTTTTGATTAAAAAAATCATAACCCTCCGTTGTCAATTGCCAAAGTATTTCTTTTCAAAGTTTAACTATTATTTTCTGCAAGCTCCTTCGTGAATTCAATAAATGAATATTTATAAGTTTGTCACTTGTCAGTGTTTTACTATTAAAGACATATAAAGCCGCGACTGCGCGAGCTTTAAAGCTCTAACCTTTATTTTAATATATCTTTTTTTATTAAAGTTAGTTTCTCTTTTTTTTTCTTTTTTTTTTTTGACATAACTACGTAAGTTAGTTAATTCTTCTCCTTCTTAAGAAATTCTTAATTAAGAACATGAAAAATAAAAAGTAGTCTAAGGTTGGAAGCACCACACACGCATTGCTGGCTTGCAATATAAGATCATTAGAAAACTCCAATATCAGATTAAAGGGGTTTTCTATTGCAAATATAATGTGTTTGTTACTTGATTCCTGAATTGTATATTTAAGATTAAAACGAATAAATATTAAAGCCGTTGAGATTATAGAAAAGGAAAAAGCAAAGCACGCTTGTTTGGGTAAATGGGAATTCTTGGCTTCTAAATGAAGACACTGTGTTAAGAATTAGTTAAATTCATACTCCTTGAAACAAATCCCCACCTTTTATTTTTTTTTTATATTTCCTCCTTTGTTTTATTTTGTTGTTCATATCTCTTCGCAACCTCACGCTTTTAATGTGTGTGGACAATACAAAGATACTGACTTCATCTATATCCAAAACAATTATTGTTATACGTCCCTTATAATAATGTTATATTTCATCTAAAAATGTGTGACTCGATATAAACTTAATATTATTTGAATATCGCCAAATTTTATCAATCTCTATTATTTAGTGTGAATAACTGACAAACATTCAATGATTTAACTAAATGTTATATTTTTACGAAACTTGATCAATTGGGCTAAGTTTTGACATAACAACAAATAATGCATTAAACAAAACAAAAAAAAGATGATAAATAACAAGTGACTATAATGAGTGGAGATAAAAAGTTTCAACCGAATCAAAGTGATTAGATGATGAGCTTTTTCGTGTTATGTTTATGTCACCCTTTGAGGCTCTTGTGATAATTGGTAAGATTGAGAATCCGATTCCAACGATGAATCTCGTGATGGCATTATTGTTCTGTTAAAATAATAGTTTCAATAATTGTAGAAAGACGCTTTCAAAAAGTTTTAGTGTTAGACAAAAATAAAAGTGGGACAAATTGACCTTAACCAGCTCAAAAGATCATGTAAACACATGCGACGTGTGTCGTTAAAACAAGATTTTTAAAAATAAAATAATTAAAATTTCTAATTATGAAACATGTGATATCATCATAACTCATAAGTTACTTGTCCTCCTTTCCGAGTCTGATTAATTAGCGGAGTCATAGGTTATCGTGGTATGTCACTTTAGTTTTGTTTTTGAAATTGTTAGCAATAGCATAATAGTAGCTAGACATTCTCTCCCTTTCCTAATGGTTGTAGAATAGATATCTAAAATTATGGCACTAAAAATCTCAAATATTAATACAAACAATATTTTTTAGTAAACGATAAGTTGTAAGAATCGATTCGTATTTTTGTCGTACAGGTTTTAAACCTTTCCAAAAAGTTATGGTATATATGAAAGACAGTAAGAACATGTCCATCAGGAGTTTTTCAAGAGTTTATGGCACAGGTTTTAAGACGAAATTCAATAAAATATATAATTTTAAAAATAGAGGTTCATAGTATAGGTTCTTCCTGACGAACCTGAAGAACTCAGGTTCATCCAGGTTCATCACACGTGGAGCATCTTGATTAGTCCAAAAAAATAATTTTCGAATTTAAAAAAATAAAAAATAAAATCCAAAAAAAAATATTATTATATTTGGATAAACCCCTTTCTCAGGATTGTTGGATTGTCTCTATCAAATAGAGCGATTTTCTGGGCGATGAGGGCGATTTTCTGGGCGATTTTTGAATTGCTCTTTCAAATCAAATCGTTTCTGGAATTTGAAGCGGTTTGTTCGTCAATCGATGGTGTAGTGGGGCGGTTAATCCACGATCTCACTTTCCCATCTTCCATTTCCATAGTGGGTTTTCAGATCTGCTATGAGGAATTCGTGGAGGGTAACCACCGCATACTTTTTCTATATATTCTGATCTATTTGCATCGTCATTTAAATCACATATCTGCAACTACTAATCAAAATTTCTCTTGTATCTGCTTTTTAAACATTTCAATGGCGGACAACTTGCGGAGGGCAATCCAAGACATTAACTTGGGTGTCGATGATGAACCTATTCTTTTACCGGTGGAAGCGTGTCAAGCGGCGGCGAGAGTTAACCAATACTCCCTGATTGGACGTGCCTTGATTCCGAGGAAGCAAAACATCCGGACGATTGTCGCAACTTTTCCCCGTCTTTGGGGTTTGTCCGGAATCATCTCTGGCAGAGTGGTGGAGCGCAGGCGATTCCAATTTGTGTTCCCGTCGGAGGAGTTGATGCAGTCAATCCTTAACCGTGGTCCTTGGGCGTTTAACGACCGTATGCTGATTATCCAAAGGTGGACACCGGATCAGACAGAAATGGATCTCAATTGCATTCCTTTCTGGGTCCAAATCCGTGGGATCCCTCTCCAATTCCTTTCCACGACGGTTATCAGACACATAGCAGATCGTTTGGGACATGTCATTGCGGTGGATTTCAACCCAGAAGCAGCGGCGGCGGTGGAATTTGTGCGAGTTAAAATTAACTGGAATGTTGATTCTCCTCTGAAGTTCCAGAAGAATTTTCAGTTCACGCCTGGTGTCAACACCCTTCTACGTTTTCAATACGAGCGGTTAAGGGGGTTTTGTGATATCTGTGGCTTGTTAACACATGATTCCGGCGCTTGTGTTCTTCAAGCACCTAATGAAAATGCTCCGGATGGGCCACCAGGGGATGATAATAATGATGATGACATGAATGAAGATTTTCAGGAGAATGCACATGGTGACCAGGAACAACCTCACGAGGATAATGAAGCAAATGATGTGGCGATGGATGGATAAAATGATGACCAATCTGAAGAAGAGGGGGGTCCAAATGAAGAAGAATATCTTCCTTTCAATGATGACAATTTCCATATCAGTCTCGCGGATTTTGTGAGGGACCGAACAAAGTTTGTGGGTCCTAATGCAAAGAAGAGGAAGGAGGCATTCTTGGCTACTCTTTTCGAGAATCCATCTAGTGGAACATCCAATGATGGTGTAGAAGGTTCAAGGGCAAATGAAGATGCATGACGAGATTAGGGTCTGGATGATAATGAACCTGGAGGTGATAAAGATGGTGCGTCTGCACAAATGGGTACCAAAGCTGATTTGGCGAGTCTTGAAGACTATGAGAGGGAGATGATACCCCGGTATGGCTTGCAAGAGGTAATGCGTAGGAATCGTTTTGTGGAGAATTTACTTGCTGATTATGAGCCTGTCATCCCTACAACACCAAACACAGGAGGTGCTGTTGGACCTAACGTTGAAGATACAGTGGAGGAGTGGTCCACTGTTGGGTCACTGATGCAATATGGGAGCTTCCTGAACAGTGGCTCTACGGTTCAGTCAGAACGGGAGTCCACACAACCCCTCACTAAAGGTGCAGGTAAAAGAATCTTTACTAGTGATGTCTGCCTTGATGAAATGGATAATGCTGACGCAGACCAGGTTTCTAAACGCTTACGCTTGGAAGAGGAAGTTGTTGACAAACATGTCCAGGAGGGGGACAACCACGTTCGAGAGGAGAATGCTTTACGGAAGCTGCAAGCTGACTACAGCAACTGTGTCGAAGACCTGTTCGACACTCCACTTCTCAGAGGCGCGGTGGGCCCGAATCCACCAAAGGTTCCATGAGGGTTGAAGTTTGGAACTGTCGAGGCTTAGGACAGCGCCTGACAGTTCGACGTCTACAGGAGATGCAGAGGGTGTATCTCCCTGACTTGCTGTTCTTGGTGGAAACAAAACAAAACAATGACTATGTTAGAGATATCGCAGTACTATTAGGTTATGATGCAATGCAAATAGTCCCACCAGAAGGTCTTAGTGGTGGTCTCGCTGTATTTTGGAAAAGTTATATTTCTGTTACTTGTATTTCCGCAGATGCAAGACTTGTAGATCTTTTTATTGAATTCAAATCATTCAAGTTTTACTTGTCTAGTATTTACGGAAATCCAATACCTCGTCTAAGGCATTATCTTTGGGAGAAACTACAACGTCTATCTCTTACTAGAACTGGATCGTGGATGATGTGTGGGGATTTCAATGAAATCCTCACTCCGGATGAGAAGTGGGGTGGCCGAGTAAGGAATGCAAGCAGCTGTGCAGGTTTCAAAACAATGTTGCAGGTATGTGGAATGTCTGATCTCAAGTCATCGGGAAATCCGTTTAGCTGGGTGGGTAAACGTAGAAATGAGGTGGTGGAATGTTGTTTGGATAGGGTACTTGTTAACTCGGAATGGAAAAATGAATATCCGGCATCACAAATGGAATTCCTCGATCTAGCAGAATCAGATCATAGACCTATGATTGTTAACATAGAGTATGAGGAGAAGAAACGACAAGGTTTATTTCGATATGATAAAAGGCTTTATCATAATGAAGACTTTGTGGATGCAGTTCTCTTTTCTTGGCAGCACAGGAATAACCAAAATTACCGATTGTCTGACAAGCTGATTAAATGCAGGGCGACAATGGCTCAATGGAAGAAGAGGAATCGTACAAACGCAGCAGAAAGGATACAAAGTCTACGAAACCAGATTGATGAAAAACTTCGAGATGCTACTGTGCAGGTATCAGAAATCCATAGGCTTAAAAAGGATTTGGGTGATGCTTATTATGCTGAGGAACAGTTCTGGAAACTAAAAAGCCGTAATAAATGGTTACAAGCAGGGGATCGTAATACAAAATTCTATCATGGAGCAACTAAAGCGAGACGTTCAAAGAATTGTATCAAACACATTGAGGATGAGCAAGGAATAATTCACAAGAAAGATGAAGCAATTGCAAAGGTTGCTGAAGATTACTTTACTAATCTGTTTTCGACAACCACTGCTAATACGGCTACTAATGATTTTCCAGAAATCTCACAAAATGTTACCCCTGACATGAATTTGATGTTGACAGCCCCAATCACTGAGAAGGAAATTAAGGACGCTGTAGTTCAAATCGGCCCAGATAAAGCACCAGGAACAGATGGATATACAGTTGCCTTCTATCAGCAATTCTAGCCACAGATTGGACCGGATGTCTGTCAAATGGTACAACAGTTCTTCGCAACAAATACAATGGAACCAGGTATGAACCATACACAGATATGCCTTATACCGAAAATAACAGATGCTATGGTGATGAGTGATTATAGGCCGATAAGTCTGTGTACTGTTAGTTACAAAATTATCTCCAAAATTATGGTGTTGCGATTAAAAAGGTGTCTCGGTAGTTTGATCTCTGAATCACAGACTGCTTTTGTACCGGGTAGAAATATTCAGGATAACATTCTAGTGGCACATGAGTTGTTACATGCTATTAAATCAAACAAAGATTGTGCTGAAAACTATCTTGCTGTTAAAACAGATATCAGCAAAGCTTATGACAGAGTTGAATGGAGATTTTTAGAAAATATAATGGAGAAGATGGGTTTTGATAGGAAATGGATAGACTGGGTTATGACCTGTGTGTCAACGGTGTCATTTTCTGTACTGATCAATGGCTCTGCTTATGGCCACTTTGCACCCACTAGAGGTATAAGACAGGGTGACCCATTATCACCATATTTGTTCTTGTTATGTGCAGAGGTATTAAGTCAGATGTTGAGTAAGGCCGAGAGTCTACAAAAGTTTCAAGGTATGAAGTTAGCAAGATCATGTCCAACAGTTACCCATTTACTTTTCGCTGATGATTCACTCTTCTTCTGTAGAGCAACTCCTGCAGATTGTATACAGATTGCTTCTATTCTATACGAATATGAAAGGCTATCCGGACAAAAGGTGAATTTCTCAAAATCTTCAATCATTTTTGGAATGAAAATAGATGATACACGCAGAGCTGTTTTACAAAATATTTTGGGGATTGATAATATAGGAGGAGGAGGTAAATACTTGGGATTACCGGAGCAGTTTGGTCGCAGAAAGAAGGAACTTTTCCAGTTTGTCATCAAGCGAATAGAAGAAAAGCTGGGTGGATGGTATACTCAGTTCCTCTCTCCAGCTGGTAAGGAAGTTCTTATTAAATCTGTGGCTTTAGCAAAACCAGTCTATGCAATGAATTGTTTCCTTATTCCTAAAACAACCTGTGAAGAGATTAATAGTTTACTATCAGAATTTTGGTGGGGAACAGATAATGGGAAGAGGAAAATATCGTGGGTATCATGGAAGCGTATGTCTTTACCAAAAAAAGAAGGTGGCATAGGATTTAAAGACCTCCATAAGTTTAACCTTGCTCTCTTAGCGAAACAGGCCTGGAAGATTCTGATCAACCCATCCTCTTTACTGGCAAGAATATATAAAGGGAGGTATCATAACTCATCGATGTTCTTAGAATCGATGAGTGGAGTACAACCGTCTTATGGTTGGCGTTCAATACAAGCAGGTAAAGATCTGCTAAAACGAGGTCTAAGGAAACAAATTGGTGATGGAAAAGATACAAGTGTCAGTAATGATCATTGGTTACCAACTGTTCCTCCCAGGAAAGTTAGTAATGCTAATGATTCAAATCTAAACTTCCCGGTATGTTCATTGTGGCAGGAAGGGGAAAGGAAATGGGATTCTGCTAAGCTGGAGCAACATTTAACTGCTGAAGATGCCCAACTAGCTAAGCAAATTACCCTCTCTCGGTATGCTCAAAAAGATAGGTATATTTGGCCCTTCACAAAGAATTGTGTTTACACTGTTAAATCAGGTTACTGGTTTGCGACTCACCATGATCAAGATGATGTGATTGTGCCACCTGGTGGAGATATAATGCTAAAGACAAAAATTTGGGCACTCACACTACTACCTAAAATTCAACACTTCCTTTGGCGGGCTTTATCAGGTGCATTACCAACGGCGGAAAGGCTTATTACAAGAGGTATTCAGGCTGACCCAATTTGTCAAAGGTGTTGTTTACATGTTGAAACTATAAACCATGTGCTTTTTGAGTGTAGCCAGGTTAAGGCTATTTGGCGGAGTGCAAACTATACTCAATTCGATAATACAACTACAAATGTGGAGGAGAACATTCAAATACTATTAGATATCCAAGCAGACACTTCATTATCACAACAGGTAAGGTTCATACAATTTGGGTTGTATGGCAAATTTGGAAATCTATGAATGAATTCTTGTTTGACAAAAGGAATGCACCTCCTAATGAAGATGCACAGCGTGGAATTCAATGTGCTACGGAGTTCTTAGCTGCACAAGAAGGATTGTACTCGCTATCATCTCGAGATAGTAATGCCGAAAGAAATCGATCAAGTCAATGGGAACCACCTGGGGTAGGTTGGTTAAAATGTAACTTTGACATTAGCCTTCGACCAAATACCTCTCATATTACAGTAGGCTGGATCATAAGAGATCATCAAGGTTCTTACATGATTACAGGATTTTCGAAATTACCGATGGTTTCTACATCATTACAGGCTGAAGCATCCGGATTTCTACATGTTTTACAAACAGTTTGGACGCTTGGATGGCGGAATGTATGGTTTGAGTGTGACAATAAAAAGTTAACACAAGTCATCAATGACTGGGAAGATAATTTGGAGATTGGGAACATGCTATATGATATTAGGCACTGGATGGAAAAACTACCGCGTTGTTCTTTAGATCATGTCAATCGAGAGAAGAACCAAGCTGCAGATTGTCTAGCTAAAAGGGCGTATGAGTCAGACGTTTGTTTTTCATCTTTTGTTATGCCGCCTATATGGCTTGTTAACTTTTTGTATCATCCATTTACGATTTAATAATAATTATAAGTTGACAAAAAATTAAAAAAAACCCCTTTCTCAGATGTTTATTGATGGACATGGTCTAATAAAAATGATGGTGAGAAGTTGACAAAAAAAAAGGTGATGAGAAAAATTTTCAATGAAATAAATGTACCAAGTGTATTTCAAAAACGATATTTTGAATGTACATATCTTTTGAGAAATAAAAACCCCTAAGTTTATACTATATGTACAATGTAATTGTAACCTACATCTCTAAATTATATGTTGTTAAGCCTAATCCTTATCTAAACATACAAGGGTAGGTATAAATAAGATAACCCTAAGAGATACGTACAAAAATATTCTCAAAGATATTGAGGACAAGATATGAGTATATCATTTTTTGTTCTTATTTTTTAAAAATATATGATATGAGTATATGTCAAGATATGAGTATATCTCAATATAAATAATTGAAAAATGGTGATTACCGACATTTCGAAAATGAAAATGGAAAATATTATTATTATCACAAGAAGACCTAATCAAATAACGAATGTAGAACGTGGACGTAAACATCCGAAAAATATAATCTAAGAACATAACAAATGTCAAATGTGTACAAAAATCAAATCTATTTAAAAATTGAACGTAAATCTTCCTATTTTTGTTTTGTATTTTTTTTCCCCCAAAATAATAAAATGCTAACAGTAATTATAGACAGAAGAATCTAATTCAGAGGAACAAATACGTTTCATAATAATCGCCATAATGTCAGGATGATTACTATTACCGCGTTGTATTATATCATGACTCTTTATCGACGAAGCCACCGAGTTTCTCGTCCTCAACTCAGCGAGCGAACTCGCTTCCGCAACCGACTCACTCGGCGTAATCACTTCAAAGTTCTTCGTCATATGAACATTCCCAACGAGTTGACTCAGCACGACCGATTCCGACACCGAGTTCCTTTTCTTGTGCTGCTGCATCGTCGCTCTCACGATCTCAGTGTGCATCGAGCTCGACAATCTCCTCATTCCTTTGGCTCCACCGATCAAAACCGCCGGGTTAATCTCCGAGGTTCTCTTGCTGCCGTGTTTAGAGAAGAAGAGGACCGAGTCGGGGCTCCGATTTCGAATCCGGGTTAACGGGTCACCGAGGAACAAGGAGGTCTTTGCGTCCACAAGCATCACGTGCTTGAAGTTGCGACGGACTCGACCGAGCAACATTGGATAACACGCCCATCTCCTCAAGCTTATCGGGACGTGATCCATGAACCCAGATAACGAGTTTTCCGGGTCCAACTCGGTCACGTCGAAACCCACGACCGACCCGTGAGTCAACTCAGTTGACTCGGTCTCGTTCGATGTGGAATTAGCTCGATGGGTCTTCTTCCCCCAGATAGGCTCAGATGTCTCCTTCTTCGATTGGTTCTTCATGAATCGGGACAGATTGAAACCCCAAACCGAATCGATTTGACTCGACGAATTCGAATTTCGATGAACCTCGACGAGTTTCGAGAACGAGTCGTTCTCTTCCTCGATCAATTCAGCGAATCTCGAAGCAGAAGAAGGGGAATCAAAGAGCAGGACGGTATCGGATCGGGAAGTGACTCCGGAACGATGGAGCAACCGCATAAAGAGGCGGAGATCTTCCTCCGTCGTATCGGAAGCGACATGAGCAACAACTAAATCGTGCATGCTCTTGGTTCCTCTGAGAAACAGAGTACCCATTCCCTGGAGAGCAAAGTTGTTGGAACGACGACTAATAGCTCGAGTTTTGGCGCCGACGACGTCGCGATTGAGGAGAAAACGACGGTGTGAGCGGGGAGAAACGGCGGGAAAACCAGAGGAAGGCTCGAAGGTGGAGAGAGTGAAGAGGAATAAGGTGAGGAAGAGAAGGAGGATGCAGATGGAGATGGTGGATTGGGCTTTGGAGAGGAGAAGACGGGAAGATCTGGAGCGGAAGAGATTCGTCGTTGCCGGAGAAGAAGAAGATGAAGAAGGAGGAGAGTCGTTGTTGTTGTCGACGGCGGAGGAGTTGTGGTCGGGGAAGAAGACTAAGAGCAAACCCATTCCTCTTCCGCTATTAGAGTTCTTCGTCTCTTTCGCTGATGATATCAAACCCATTCTCTCTCTCTCTCTCTCTCTCTGCAAGTTTCTCTGGTTAGTGGCGACGAGAGGCTGAGACTGAGAGCATTCGCCTTTTTTTTTTGCTTGGCTTGGCTTTCTTCTCGAATGTGCTTTTTCTGATTTCGCATCAAATTTTATCAATGATAATCTTTTTTTTATATATATATCAAAGAAAACGATGGTCGGGTCGGGTCACCCGGTTCAGATACTTGTTTTGGAAAAAACAAAATGTGGGTAGATTATTTATTAATAAGAAGATATTAACCGAATGCAGCCGAAATTTTAATTTTTAATATTTATACGAATAATTAGACAGTAATAAGATGTCTTCAATAGCTATGAATACGATCACATGTTTATCGCCGAATAACTTACACATTCATGAGAGAGGTCCTCAGTTAATTGTATCGAGCCTTTAAAAGAAAAAGAGTTTGTATTATGTACCTAGTAATCAATAAACCAATTTGATTAACACGGTATTAAAGGGTGTGCCTAATTTTCTTTATAACCAAGTTTGACCCGTACTCTCACTCCATGTGAAACATTGAAAGTTTAGGCATATGTAAATAAGTTACTTTGTTTGACCGGTTAACCCGTTTGTTGAAGCAATTTATCATGGAGTTTCGAAGCGATTTGTTATCAAAAACAAAGATTTTGCAATTATGGAATGTCATTTACCAACGTGATTTTCCTTACTTTCGTGTAAAAGTCGTTTTACTACGCTAGGATTATTGATTTAACGATTAGAGACAATGATAATGCATTGAAGAATTGAAGCCAAAATACTGAGTTGAATGCAATCGAATGGTGATTGTTGGTGAGTAATGAAAACTGATTGAATTCTATGCAACATCCTTTTATCAAATAGTGAGTAATTAATGGGATTGGATACACTATATTTAAAAAAAACAAACCTATATTTCTAGCTAACAACAAAAATAGGCCAATTAATTATGAATTAGTTATCAAAAGTTTTGGATTATGATCATCCTTTTAAGATCCAAAAATGGCAAAATACAAGAAGAAAAAAATATTGTCAGGTACGTGAAGAAGGCAGTTATTAGTACTCTAGTGGTAAAGGCCCACTTCATTAAATCTGCCCCCTTGATTACAGCGAGGATCCGTGATCGGACGGTAGAGACATGAGGAAGGGTCGTCAATCGTAATGAATGAATGGAAGTAAATGGTCTTCTATTTATTAACTGTACACAAAACAAAAAATATCAAAGTGGGACCCATAAATGGGTGATTTGACTTTTGTTTGGGACTCCGTGAGAACAAGTGTGTGTGTGTGTTGACGGTGGGATCTCTCTAATTCTCTATTCTCCTCATTGTCATTGGAACCTTCTTATGAAACTCCTGCACACGTGGCTTTCTCTTCTTCTGCAGATTTTCCCGTTTTAGGCCGGGATTTGTGCTTTTTTATTATTTTCTTTTAATTATACTTATTAGTATATCTTTAGTGAGGAGTCATTTAGACTCATTACCAATTTTTTTGTGTCGACTAGTCATCAACATTTCGTTTTCTCAATTCTTTTAAAATAATAATGGACTCGCTACGATACAAATTACCAATCATACAAACGATCCAAAACAAATGTCTGAGATCACTATCAATAATTTTCTGAAAGTTTACATATATCAACATTTACTTACTACAAATCTCATTTGAATTAGCTAGCACAAAATGAATTTTTATGAACGAGTAAGAGAGTATGTTTGAAACGATCCTTACTTACACTAGTCCACCGCTTTCATCTAAACAATTTTTTATTGTAAAGACTTGTACTTCCTGACGAGAAAAAAGCAACTTGTACTTTCTGCCGCTTGTCAAACAATCTGGTGATTTATCTTTTTTTTTTTTAATTCTATAAAAATCAGAACTTTAATAATTTTATTTGTCGGTTGCCTTGACACATTTGATCATAAATCTATTTTAAAAGCCCATAATCTCAAAAAGAAAACCCATCGTAGCCCATTATATAAATGGCCCGGATATATTGGGGTGGGCTTTGAATTTCGCTTATTGTCAACGTTCACAGTATCCTGTTAAACGAGTTGATGCAGCTCAGATTAGCTTTAATGATCACATTTGGTGTTGAGCTGAGTTGCCGGCAATCGAGTAACCTTGTTTAGTAGTATCACGAAAACTATAGAAAGCGAAACAAATAATTAATAGACAACTTGAATTTTTCTTTCTTCTGATTAATATTCACGTCAATTCGAGATGTTTTTCAAGAAATTTGTTAAAAAATTGTAAGATAATGTAACTGATCACAAAGTATCATGAGTGTGCTGTGATGGGAACTTTGAGAAGAAAACCTAATGTTACTGATTAATCAATCCTTCTTGATTCAAGGAACAATGTTCACCTAACTCGTTAAACAAATTCTACTTGAGAGATACGGAAAGCAAAACAAGACCCAGAAACAAGGTGGATACACAATAAACCCCTAAATACCAGAATTAGAAAAATAGTTGAATTTCGATCAATCAGAAGCCACTTGACTCCCAGAGTTATCGCAGATCAATTCGACCTTTGGTTTCTTTCTCTTTGTACTATACCCCGACGACGACAACCTAAGAAAGACAAAACGAGAAGGTTTTGTTTTTTGAATCCAAACAGATAAAAGATTGTATCAGAAGGTAGGGCTTTTGGTTTGTAGTTTACCCCAGCTGCAAGGAAGTGTCGGAATGGTGCTCCTCGTTGTCATTCTCATCATCGTCTGATGAAGAGCTCTCGGCTTCCGCTTGTGGGCTAGAAAACTGAGGTATTTCACTCATCCCTTTTGAACCTCTCCCCAACATCTCTACCTGAAGGTCAATTACATTTGAACTCAGTATACATATATGGTGAAGAACATAACTGAGCTATAATGTAAATGGGTTGGCTTAATCTTGACCTGTTTCCGCAAGATTTGGTTCTCTTCCAGTGCTCTTTTCTCCTGATAAATTATAAGCCAATGAAACAAGGATACTAAGATATAACAACTGTATAAGAATTTGATGAGCTTACCTGTAAACGGGATCTTTCTACCTGGTTGAGCAGGATTTGTGTCTGAATCAAAAATAAAATAAAATTCTCAAGTCAGGAATGAATCACAAATCGGTTTCATTGTTTCATTCTTTGAATGATTTAGTTCTTTGTCTTCACCTTTTGATCCTTGACACTATGCAAGCTATCATTCAACTGGTTTTCAAGAGTAATGAGATCCGAGAAACTCATACCATCAAGTGCCTTACCCTTCAGTCTCCTGCTCAGTAACAAACACAATACACCGATGAACCAAAATGAAAGACAGACACTTTACACAAGAAACACACAAATATTGTTGCAAGGGGGATACATACTCAATCGCAAGCTGTAATCTCTCAAGTTCGCTCTTCATAGAATCATCTCTTCGCAACTGCAACACAACGGAATGCATGTAAGAGAAACAAATTTGAGCAAGAAAAAGATATTTAAAAGTTCGTGGCAGAGAATCTCTGGTTGTATATATATACCACAGCTCCATTTTCTTGTGAAGAACAAAGAAGAAGTTGTTGTTCTCTTTGTCTTTGATCACCCGTCGCAGAACTGTATCCGTATCTCGAAAGAATTTGGTCCATACTTCACAGAATTGAGAAACTCTCCGTTAGCTATGTCCATTAATTGGTTTGATTGATCATAACACGAAAAAATCATGAGAAAATCCTCTTAGCATTTTCTTCTGCATTCTCAGTTTCTTCAGAAAGATGAGATAAACACACCAAAATCGACTCTAATATTGTCTACTTATCTCAGAATTATAGATCTTCCTCAGATTTCTTCACTTAAGATTCTAAAAGCTGAATCGCATAACTGCATCAGTCAAATTTTGATCCCAAAGAAGTACCAAATTGCAATTTCCTCAACAGTTACGGTTTAAAACTCACAACTATCCGATTACAAACCCCAAATTACAGAGAGACGATCTTGATTCTCCAAAAGAATCGTCCTTAAACCAAAACCCATAACAAAAATTCCACCATCAACCCCAAGATTTAGCCAGATAAACATAAGAAAATGCATATCGATGATAATCATAAACCCACAAAAAAAGTAGAATACTTTCAAAATTTATGTTTTTTACCTGCCGCTGGAGAAGTCGTAAATCTTGCCGGTGCTGGAGAAGATGATGAGTGCAACCTCGGCGTCGCACAGAATCGAAAGCTCTTTCGCCTTCTTCATCAATCCGTTTCGTCTTTTGGAGAAAGTGACTTGACGACTGTTCACATTCTCAATCTTCTTAATCTCAATCCTTCCTCTCCCCATATTCTCTGAACAATCCAATCAATCTGGGCTCTGTAAATCAAAAACAGGGTAGAGATGGGATATATATATATATATACAGAGAGATGGAAGTAGTAGCCTTCTGTATATATATATATGGAGAGATTTTTGTATATATAGGAGATTTGAGTGGGTTTTCTTTAGAAATTGATCAAATATGACAATTGGGAAAGGGGCTAAGGAAGGAAAATTAGACCAAAATTAGGGTATTGCATAAAAAGATGGAGTTACTATAAGTAGCAATTTTCCATATTTGGTGGCTTTGCTAATTTGCTTGCTTGGTGTGAGTGGCTGTTTTCTTCTTTTGGAACTTCTTCCCTTTTATAACGCCTTGTTTGGTTTGGGTTCTCTTCTCCAATTGTAATCTCCTCCTTTTTTTTTTCTTTTTTCTTTTATTGTATATATAATATAGATAATACCATATCTAGGGTTTTCTTTTGTGATTGCTTTTGGCCTTGTTTTTATGGCGGTTCTAAAACACAATCTACCAAATTATTTAAATTTCTATTGTTTTACCAAAAAATGTAATTTCTATTTTCACAAAAGTTGACCGTGTTTCACGATATGACTTAAAAAAATTAGAGCGTTGATTTGAAATATATATGTTCAACTGTTTTACAGTTTTAGTCATAGTCAACTGGAAATTTAATATAGCGTATAAATAACTTGCACTTTTTTTTTGCAACATGAATAATGTTATCTATAAATTATATAGTGTTTTATCTTAAGTAAAAAATACACCATGTAGATATAATAATGATTTAGATTTAGCCCTCACATAATTAAGAAATATACGAAAATAACAACTATCAAGTTTTCAAGATCTAATAGAAAAGCCAAAAGTGGCCTTGCTTGAAGAAGAATATGATAAGCAAAGCAAAAGCTGTGGCTTTAACGCTTTCTATAGATAGTAAAATCTCACAATTACTTTTTCCCCTGAACCGAATTTGTTATATTTATAGGAAAAGAAGATTTCTCTTTTTAAGAGGACTTTCTATTGTAACCGATATCTATATATATTCAGATTTCCTCAGTTCTACTTTCACCACTTTGTGTTTATCTACACATCTAAAGTATACAATTTTTTTAATTATAGTCAAATAGATTAAAGTAGTCTAAATTCCTAAATTTGATTAAATCAAATAAATTAACATTAAATTCTATATAAGTTTCCACGAATAAGCTTATATAAAAAAAATTACTCAATAAAAGCTTTCATATGTTAATATTTTTTTAAATAAATAATTAATTGTACAAAACTTGACCATCTAAAAAATATGTAAAAATATGTATTACTGAATAAAAACATATAAATAATTATAAATTGAATAAATTTAAAATATTAATAAATAAATATATTTTTTAAATTCATAAGACAATTAAATTAATTACAAAACCTAAAAAATAACATAATATTAGATGATAAAATTTGTAAATTACATACGTTTTGCACATAGCACAGACTATATCTTAGTTATATATAGGGAAAGTAAATTGTATTTGGAGTTATCTAAACATTAAAAAACACTAAGTTCTATCAAATCACCAAATTTCTGTTTGAGATTTTGTAAACAAATATTTTGTTGAATACTACTGTACTATGTGATTACCCGCACTCGGAATAAATATTATTCATAGTTTTTTAATTTAAATATGTAAATATAATATATATAATTACAATTAAAAAATTGTTAACTGATATTTATAATTGCAAATTTATGCACTGATTATACAATTATTAATAATAGTTACAATTATATTTATTTTATAGTATAATTGTATAAATGTTAGATAATTGTTGGTTTTATAATTAATTTTAATAATAGCTTTTATATGAATAAAATTGCATATTTGATTGGATTAATACGTTTTATTTAACCGATTCAACATCAGACTAAGATATTTAAATTTTAATAGAAAAAATTAATTATAATATGCATGGAAAATTTTAATTTTTTTTTATTAGATGGATAATTCAATTTTTAAAACAAAATTAAAATCAATGAAATATGATATAAAAATATAGTGTTTAGTAACCTAAGTAATATTATGTGTTAAACTTTATAAATCGGTTGTTAAAAAATAGAAAGAAAAATAATATCTTTACAAATTAATTGTTAAGTATTAAATATATAATTGATATAAACTAATCTCTAACCAGATTAATGCTAATAGCAAGTGATATAATTATTCTAGTAAAGCAAATATTTTTTATATGTGTTTTGAGAAACTTTCTTATAATGACACATCACTATGACATTCTTGTAAATCACACATGATATAAATGTCATTTTTAAATTGTCTTTCTTAAATAATAATAGAAGATTACTTTGTTTTGTAGTAGAAATGACAATTTATGAAAATATACTTTTAATTCATTTAATGCTAATAGCAAATTATATATATATATATATATATATATATATATATATTTTCTTTTTTCATATCTAATTTGTGAAAAAAACGATTTACACATTGTTTTATTAATTTAAGAATCAAAATATTTGTTGTTTAAAACCCGGCTTTTGGTGCGGTTTTTTGGTATCATACAGGTTTTCAAACAATACAGACCAAATGTCATGGCGGTGAAGTTTATTTTTACTTTTTGTTTTTTGGTTAATTATATATTTAATTTAAAAAATCTATTCATTTTTTTTAACTTCGTGTAGATTCAGTTTTGTTGTTTTAATATCTAGAAAGTAAAAAAACATTTTAGTCGCATTGGAAATTCATTTCCCTTTTTGGTGTATCTGGATCAAACATTCTTGACTAATATTATATTAAATTTCATTAAGCTTTGATATATCATATATCCCGATAAAATCAAAAACCGTAAGGAAACAAAGCGAAAGTGAATCAAACATCTAGTTCTAATAATATAAGCCAAAAATATTAAAAGTTAATAGCATATACGAAATGGTTTATTTATAAGTTTATTTATAAGTTTATAACACTAAACAAAAATTTTGAAACAATTTGCTATCTTTAGTTGTTACCAAAAATAACATCCCGTATCCATTAAAATTTACAATATGTGAAGGCATTAACGCGTTGAGTATTTGTTTTCGATACGAAACTGCCGTGACTTCTTAAGTTTTTGTTTTCTTCAAAGAAAGTAAAAACAAATTAGTTATCAGAAAATTCCATATTTTGTTTCATATAGCTCCTATAATTTTTTTAAGAAAACCAACATATATTACAGGAAACCGCTTGGAATATTACCCTTTTTTGTTGTTAACCCGATAAAGGATCACTTCTTATTTCAAAGATTTTGTATATTAGAAGGATTTCATATCAATCACACAAAAACAGAACAACCAGTTGTCGTAGTTACATGCAATTTCTTTCCATTTTACTTTCTTTTCTGTATCGTAGGGTGTAAATTAATATTGCGATGATAATCACAAAAAGATACAGAAAACTAAAAATAGAATATTCTTCCTATAAATATGAAGTCAATCTTTCGTAAATAGAAACAAAAGATATTGCTCTATATTCAAATTCTGCATCACAAATCTCGGTCAAAAGAAAAAGAAAAAGGAAAAGAAACGAAAAGTAGACACCGATTATTTGGGCCTCAGAATAACAATTATTTGGATCTCAAGGCCCATTTTTATGTGGTGTGAAATGAATTCTCTGACTCTGTGATCCTTTTTGTTCAAACTCAGTTTAGTTAGTTTCTCCGGTTAGTGATTTCAACAAAGAATCAATTATTTTACTTTTTCTTGTAAATTTGAGTCATATGAGGCTATAGAACCACTAAGGAATAGAGCTAACAATTTTCTATTTTTTGCATTTCTCTACAGAATGTTTACATCTTCGAAAATGATTTTATACAAGCTAACAATTCTCTATTTTAATTTTTGTTTACGCTAAGCAAAATGATTTTATACAAGCTCAAACCCGGTTAAATGGTTACATCCGGTTAGTAACTACTATACACCGGTCCAATTCGCTTAATCGAGAAATCATAGGCACGAGACAACGGTTTCCTGAATCTTTTCAAGTCGAGCTTCACGTTCTGGCGCTCGAGATACATCTTCTTGGTGTAATCCCATCCTTTTCGAGTAAAGCTCTTTGGATCTCGTATTATCGGATCATCTTTGCCATACTCATCATACAAGGAGCTCTCGTTCGGTTTAATCTTGTACCCAATGTACTTCAACCTCAGCTTCTTGGCTGGTTCTCCATAGTAAGTCTCAGCTGCCCACTCGGTTCCTATTGGTATAATCTGTATAAAAACCGTTCTCGGTTTCAAGAAAAGCAAATGTGTCATCGCAGCTCCATGAACACCGATCATCACGTCGCTAGAGTTCAAACATCGATATATCTTGGCCAGCTCGGTTGTTTTGTCCGGTCTCAAAACCTCGACAAAGAAACCAATATCCTCAGCTAAACCCACCAAAAGATTCTCATTGAGTAGCTCCCTTGATCCGTTTCTCGACAGAATCACCAACTTTGGTTTTTTTAAACCGAGTTCTTGAAACCTTTTACCGGTCTTGTTCGCTGCCTCGTCTTGAATCAATCCACGGATACGAGGCCAATACGCTCGATCCAGCACATTTCTGAAATCAAGAATCGTTTTGTTACCAAGCATCAACGATGGATCAACAGTTAACTCGTCGTGAATCTTTAACCCCACGATAGATTCCTTGAAACAGTGAGTTCTATTGTCGCTACTGAAGTCCACCGGAGGATAATCGGAGAGCTGAGAAACAATATCTCCGTATTTCATAACCCACCAACGATGATACTCAACGATCACAAACACAACCTTCTTGTTGAAATGCTGTGAAGTGATGGAAAAAGGGATGATTCCGTCGTTGAATTCGTGGTACACGTTTCCGGTATAACCACCAGTGGAGAAAAACACTGCAGGGACATCATAAACTACATCTTAGATGGTGTTATGTTCGTCACCAGAGAGCGAAGAATTGTCATCTCTGTAAACGAGATTGAGCTCTTGAACTGTTTCCATAACACTTGTTTCCCATTTTCTTGTGTAAGGTTTCATCTTTTCAGGGATTTTGGACTTGTTTTTGAGGGAAGTGAAGAGGAAGACTGATGAAGAAGCAGAGTGTGTTCTAACATCTCCTTTCATGATACAAATGTCTGATCTAAAACCGTTTCTGTCACAACAAATTGTTCCTGTAATTGAGATGAATCATAAACGGAAGTGGTTGAGATGAATTCAACATAAACAATTCAGATAGCTACAAAAAGGAATGCTCTGAAGCATCAGATTTGGCAGTATTTATTAGAGTGTAATTATAAAGAATCATAGAGATTGTCGAAAGATAAATACCATTGGAGATTCCTGAACATAGAGGAGCAATGAATGGTTCATAAGGACCAAATCCTACACTTTCTCTGCTAAAAGCACCTGCACAAGAAAATAAGCTAATAAAAATCTCAGAGGAAGCCAAAACTCACGACCAGAATTCGAGAAAAAAACATAGAAAAGTTTTGAAAACTAAATAACCAAAATATGTGATTACCTAGAAGAGAGAAAGAGGAGAAGCTGAAGATGTAACAGCAAAAGAGGAAAGAGAGAAAGATAATCAATAGAATCTTCTGATTGACTCTTTTCAAGTAGCCACCGCTCGCTACGGAGACAGCGGTGGCTCCGGAACCATCTTCTTCAACAGTAACTCTAAGCTTTTCCCCTTTTTTGATTAATCTCTGGTATTGCATCATTTCTGCGAAGAAATAAAGAAAAATTGCGAAGAGAACTACAAGCAAAGTTTCGATTTTTTACGATGCTTCTGATGGACTTTTGGTATTCTGACTAAAGAAGCGGGCAAACCCAGAAGAACCTTTACCGGAAAGAATATAAAAATCAGATCTTTTTTTTTATCAAAAAGGAGAGAGAGATGAGAGGGTTAAAGACAATTTTTTTATTTATTGGGTTTAGCTGCCTTTCTCTTACACCAAGAAATGAAGAGAGAAACAGACAAAATATGATTTTCCAGAGAGGATGTTTCAGAGTTTGAAGGTTGCTTTCGATGAACTTCTCTAAAAATTTAATTTTTATGTTTAGGCCTTCATCGAGTATTTTCCGTCAGCATATGAAAGCGCATGGAGAGACGTGTCAAAGAAGAAGAAGGGCTTTACTTCTTCCTTCTTCCTTTGAAAATTTCTCCGGTTTGTCACTTTTCAGTAATCGATTCTATCTTAATTACTCCAAAATTGAATTTGGAATTTTCTTTCTTGTAATAGAAACCTGGATTAAACTGAAAACCAACCCAATCTTCGGTTTATAGTGGTTCAATCCAACTAAAAGTTGCAGTGACAAGACTTTAATTTTTGCCTCGATCGCTCCAATTCAAAAAAATCTTCTAATACTGCCTTAAGATTTTGGATCTTCGTTAAGATTTCTAAAGGAACAAAAATTGATAATATTGCAGATGCAGATTGTTGACCAGAAAAACAAAAATGAGATGCAGATATCGCACTTAGGATGGACTTTCCCTCCCTCGCTAATTTCTGACTTTTTTATTTCTTTAAGATAAAATATATATTTTAATTGATGTAAACCGGATGTTAAGGAAAAATTAAATTGAAGTGATGAAAAGATTCGTGATTTACGCAAGTCAGCTGGTGGGACAATCAACATGGCCTAAATTAGGGAATATATTTACTACTGTGGATGTGTTACCAGTTACCACTTACCACTTCTATTATTATGAATTGGTGATCAATGCCAACAATGGTGGAATTTCAATGGTCAGGATAATTTTTTTTCCGAACATTTAAAATACCTTTACAACCTATACCAATACAAGTAAAAATAAAAAAAGTTGCCTAGGTTCAGGTCATATATGAACCCGTTTTTATTATAAACTATGAAATAATACAGTCACATTTATAAATTAAAACGCACTAAACAATACATAGTATTAAACTACTTCACCATTCATAAATACAATGAGTTTTGTTTCTCATACTTGAAACAAGTTCGGGGGGTCTTAACATAATTGTTAGTATTTTATTTCCTATATACCACACATTCTAATTCCGGCTGTGAAATAATCCTCTTTATTTGAGTTGAATATAACAAGATTTTGACTATAAATTTCCATGATACGATTTCTCAAACTAGATTAGCCTATAGTTTACAAGTATCAAGTTAGATCACTTTCTTGGGAAGAGAATGCACTAGAGTGCATGTGATGTGTTTCTTCTAATATAGGTATGATCTCCATTGCATTTATTTTGAATCTTAAGATATGCATGTGGATGGGCAAAAAAAAAAAAACCCTTTCGTGATATTTACTGTCTATTTTCCCAAATATACAAATAATATGACAGGCTTGTGCGCAGATTTCTTTAAATGATTTAGACTCTGTATCAACCTCCACACAGGAGACATTACAAAAATTTGCATCATTCATACTTGCATAGTGATAAAATCGAAGATTCGTAAAATGTCAAGACACACTCAAATTTCAAAACATTAGATAAATACTTCGAACTAAACCAAGAGACTTGATCTTACAATTTTGTGTGTTTTAGATTAAATTAAAGGAGAAAGGAGGGAAAAAAGAGATGGACCAGTTATGATTGCAGTATCTTAGGAATCGAGATTTAGGGTGGGCCACAACTACTGACAAAAGGACGTCGTCACATGACGGTTACATCTGATGCAAACGGCAAAAAAAAACGGCACAAATCAATCTTCTAGAAGAATACATGTTATCTCACTCGAGGAAGCGTTTGCCTTTACATTTTTCTTTGGAGCCCTTTATAAGATCCTTTATAAGCCTTGTAGAAAAACAGAAACTCGTATATATCACCTTGTGAATATGCATCATCAAAGTTACTCCAAGTCTCATGTAATAAAAAACCTCATAGTTACATTGTCTAAAGAATACAAACGCATTTTTTTTTGTTACATTTATGGTAAGACAGGGAGGTCTATGGAACTGAAAAAAAAGAAACTGACACGGCCCTGAGCAATATGACAGAACCTTAACAGCGCAGCTACACCGCTTTGCAGGAGTTTAATATCTTCTTTGCTAGGTGGAGACTCCCTGCAAAAAGAGGAGAGTAAGATGTGTAATGTAAGAAACTTGGTTTCATAGTTGGAACGAAAGAGACGGCTTATTACCCGAAGAAGCAAGCCACAAAGCTCGGTTCACCAGGAGAAGACTTTTTGAACCGGCTGTTTGGTAAATACACATCAAACACAGCTCTTGCATCACAGATTTGCATATCCCCCAAGAGTTCAATAACAGTATCCTCGTTACCGGCACAAACTGACTCTTCTTCATCACTTGGTGTCGTAATTGCAGCATCCTTTGACGTCCAAGGAACTCCATGCCTGCTTAGGATGTAACCTAGACCCTTTAAGTATTTATAAACCTCGTAGTTTTCCCAACAGCAGCCACTTTTTCCATCTGCAATTTTCTCATACAAGTCCTTCATTGGAATCACTATATCATCATCTTCATTACTCAAGATCTGCAACTCTCCTATTTCACTCAAATACCTGCCACGAGAAGAAGAGAATGGGAAAAAAGAAAAGACTACATCATCAGATGACTGAGTAAAAAACTGTAAATCTTTAAGAAAACATATCTTTGGTAAAGACTGATATCTAAAAAACATTGTTTGCCACATACAAAGCTTCTTCTATGAAGCAATATGTCTTTCCGCTACGAATGATTCCTGTTGTTGTCCAAAGTTTCCCTCTTTTAATCTCAACTTGAGCCATTCCTAATTCGGTAATCCAACGAGCCTTGGAAGATCCTACTCTACAATATGCGAACACATAAAAGAGCGAAAAATTGATTGTAAGAGAATAATCTGCTTATCGCAGACAACTTAAATCCAGAAACGAGTTAAAGAATTTGAATCCACCTGAACTGTAACCTGGACCCTGAACCACCAGAATGAAACTCTTCGTCATCATCTGCTGCAAAGCCAGATTTGTTCTCACTCGACGAGAAAGCTTCTAAGTCTTTTTCCTCCATAACTTTCAAAGGATATCTCTCACTTCCGTCGAAGGAATTCACTGGGACAATTCGTCGAATACTTGGCATACCACTAGATTTGTCTCTTAATAAACTCAAACTAAACTGATTTAAGACTAAGCGGTCAGCTTAAGACGATTTTCTTCCGCTTAAAACCGATTTTTTTAGAAAATCGATGATTTATTTATAACTCGAAGACTAATCTATACTATAAATGTTGCTCAACAGTTGTTCACCTCTCTCCACGTGTCCCTGAGTTTAAAAAATTGCCCGCCTAACCAATTTTATACCGCCTTAAACCGATTTCTTAAAAAACTCAACTTACTCGATGATTTATTTATAACTCGAAGACTAATCTATACTATAAATGTTGCTCAACAGTTGTTCACCTCTCTCCACGTGTCCCTGAGTTTAAAAAATTGCCCGCCTAACCAATTTTATACCGCCTTAAACCGATTTCTTAAAGAACTCAACTTACTCGATGATTTATTTATAACTCGAAGACTAATCTATACTATAAATGTTGCTCAACAGTTGTTCACCTCTCTCCACGTGTCCCTGAGTTTAAAAAATTGCCCGCCTAACCAATTTTATACCGCCTTAAACCGATTTCTTAAAAAACTCAACTTACTTAAGATTCAGAATCGGGCCCAAACAGGCCCAACAGGAAGGTATCGAACTCAGTAATTCGATAAGGGCCACATCTTGGATGAGAATTATAAATTTTATATCATCAAAAAGAAATCGAAAAAAATATAAATATTTTATACAAAAAATATTAATAGTAGACATAAAATTCAATAGTAGTTATTAAAATATAAATTAAAACAAGATTCGCGCATATGCGCAAGTTCTCTCCTAGTTAATATAAATCGTGCCCAATATCAAGCCATTTTAGAGTGGATCGCTTGCTACGGGCCCACAGTATGGATGGGTTACTATTAATTTTAAAGAAGATGAAGACTCTTACTTATAGTGCAGCCTCCCCTTCCCAAGTATCCAAGTTTGTCGATGTGGGAAACAAAATGTTCTAAAGTTTGAAATCCTAAACCCTTTCCATTTCTCCTACCCGTAGAGCTCGAATTCAATATCAATGGCGAACGACCAGGAGATGAGTGGATGGACTGATCTTCTCCATTCGTCGACAAAGCTTCTCGAGCAAGCGGTCCCTTCGGCTCAGTTTCCTCCTCTTCAGGTTCTTTTTCTCACCACTACTCTTTTCGCTTTCGATTATCCATCGTAAATAAATATTTCTTTTCGATTGTGGTTCTGTGCATCTTTTTCTTGATGAGCTTGATTCGTAAATGATAACCGTGTGGTTTTTTTAGAGGAATTTGGATTAATTGGAAGCATTGTCGAGGAAACTTAAGGCTAAAACCCTAAGAAGCGAAGCTCCTTCACAGTCTATTGCTGCCACTAGGTACTCTTTTCACCATTTTTTTAATCCATTTTTCGTGCGTTGAAGTCTAACGGATTGACTGTGGCCGAGAATCTAAAACTGGTTACTCAATTTTAGGCATTAAAGAATTTTAGGGTGCAAGGCCTAAGTCAGGTCCCGAAGAGCCAACCACTGTAGAATTTTCTGGTCGGTCTTTTCAGAAAGTGGATAAAGCTTTCATAAGAGAAGGTGGTAGATATGCAACTGAGTGATGATTTTATTAAGTCTTTATTTTTTCATTGGATGCGCAGACTACTTGCACGAGAGGGAATCAATGCAGAGCAATTGTCTCATGATCTAAGGTCATTCGAGTTGAAGGTGAGCATTTTATTAGTCTTCTCTCTCTATCCCCTAGCTTATGCTTCTCTGTGTTTGGGTAGGTCTCCTATATGTATATTTTGGCTTCAACCAGATACTTATTCAGTTTACTGTTAACTTTTTTGCTTTTACAAGTATAAGACTCATATTTTTGTTTGCTTACTTATCTGCAAGATTCTCACATACTTTTCTACTTTCATTTTACTCAGCTACTGAACGACCCTTGCCTAATTTGTTTTTCTTTTTCATTGGGTTAACAGACGACATTTGAGGATGTATTCCCTGCCGAGACAACGAGTGTTGAAGAATACTTGCAACATGTATTCTATCGTTGAAAATGGCCTATTTTAGAATACGGATAAATCTGTTTTGGAGTAACTGATCGTTCTATATGCATTCTTCATGTCTCTAGGTTCATGAAATGGCAATGGTATCGGCTATACAAGAGGCCCAAAAGGATAATGTTCGAAGCTTTAATGATTATATGTTGAAAGTATTAGAGGTCGGTATTCTGACTGCTATCAATTTTTTTGACTTGATTTCCATTTTACTTATATTCGTCGTATCTTTTTCCTATAATCATTGCAGTCTAATGCTTGTAGAGTATATCTATCTCGCCTTTTGTTTCTTCTCATTATGTATTTTCAAACAAAGATGTGAAAATGATATTGGCATGTGACCGTAATTGTGAAACGAAGGAGTATTTTCTTTATCCATACAAATGTATATGGATTGTGAATTGGAAACTCTTGACGTAGGATTCGTTAGAAGCTGGTTGAGTGCTTATTGCAAATTAAAAAGATTCGTTAGAAGCTGGTTGAGTCCTTTCTCACATAGTCAATGTGAAATCTTCTTCTAGCAGGAGGACTGTAGAAAAGAAAAGCGTGACTTTCTTCAAAGTCTTAGCAAAATCTCAATGATACCTAAGACCAAGATGATCGAGACAAGCAGAGACACTCATGGTGGTCAACTAGTGCCTGTGGCATTGAGTCCTCAAGGAAGATCCATCGTAATGGTCAAAATGGTCGTTAATTCGTCGTAATAGGGCCATTACGACGGACTACCGACGATTTCAAAATCGTCGTAAAGTCATCGTCGTAATAGACAAATCGTCGTATAATATACGACGATTTTGTTTCGTCGTAACGTCGAGGCAAACAAAATCGTCGTAAATGCGTCGTACAGTTTACAACAAGTTTACATCGAATTGCGTCGACTTGGTCTTCGCCTAGACCATCGTTAAGTGGTCGTTAATGGTCGACGTAAGATCGTCGTAAAATGTACGACGCATAAATCGTCGTAAATCAATCGTAAAGTATTTCTTCATTTCGTCGTAACTTTCGGACGTATAATCGTCGTATTTGTCGTCTTTGAATAAATGTACGACGAAATTACGACAGTTTGAATAAATCGATTACGACGATTATACGACGTTTAATATAATTGAAAATTAAAAAAAAAAATTCGAATTAAAATTTAAATAAAAAAAAATAATTTACAATTTAAAATTTATGAAAATTTGATTAAAATTAATTGTAATTTACAAAAAAACCCTACAGATCTAAATGTAAATCTAAATCGTCGATCCCGTTGATCCCGTCACCGCCTCCTCCCCATCGTCTTGGACGTGTTTCTTGCCGGGTCTTCGGTTTGATGGTTCCGCCGGCGCCTGATCTCCGGCTCTAGGAGGCTCAACCCCGAGAGATCGGAACATCTCCTCGTCCATCTGCACCGGCGGTTGAGTCCTAGTAGATGACCCGACGGCAGACGATCCGACAACCCCATTTAGCCCGCAGCTTGTCCAACTGCGCCATGAGTACTGGGTTGCCGGCTCCCATGATCTCGAAAAGACCGTAGAGCTGGTCGATCCTCGTCTCGTACCGGGTCCGCATCTGATCGATCTCCTGGCGGATAACCGGATCCGGGACCCGGACGTGACCAGTCGCCGTAGCTCTCGGGGTATCACGGATGGACCCCATCCCTAATACCCGCCCCTTTTTCTTTGGGGCAACCTACAAACATATAAAAACATTATGGTTAGAAATATAATTTAAAACTAAAGTTACATTAATTAAAAATAGTAATTAAAATTAATTACGTACCTCTTCGTAGATCTGGTACATCTCCGCCACCGTCAGCGCCGGGGTCGATTTGACCGAGCTACCTCCGGGAGACGTTTGACGCGCCTGCTGAGTCAGCTGTGTCTGTCGCTCCTCGATCGCCGCACAGGCGGCGTTGTAGATCTCCTCCGCCCGAGGATCCGTGAATTCGCCGTTACGCTTTTTATGCGTCCCGGCGAAAACCTTCGTCATCGGAGGAAGTTCTCCTCCGTTATCTTCGACCTACAAAATAAAAATGAAAAAATTAATTATTATCAAGAAATAAGAGTTTATTAGTTGAAAAAAAATTAATGATTTTAATTTAGTTACCATCATAAGCCGTCTTCCCGCAAAAGGAATCTGGCCGGAAGTGTGCGGGACGTTCTTCTTATTTCCCGCATCGTCAGTAGCGTTCCTGAAAAATATTTTGATTAGAATCTATTAAAAGGAAAAAAAAAATGTAAATATTATTGAAATTAACTACGACTTACCTAGATCCGGAACACTTGGCGGCCGTAGTTTGGTTGTGCGGATCCAACCAGTATTGGACAAGGCCCCGCCAGACGGTAATGGACATAGGCGCCGGCTTGGCCTTGTCGCCGTCGACCTCCCACTTCCGTTTCCAGTCAGAAACGGTGTTGTTGAGGCGGTATTTGACATTCTCCTTGAAGACCGTCTCCACACGTCCGTGTGCGGATGTTTCCCAATGCCAGTTTTGCTAGGAAAAAAAAGAAGTTAGTAATTATTGTAAAAAGTTAAAATTTAAAATTAAAATTAAAGGAAATGGTAAATTACTTACCGCAAAACACTTGAACCAAGTGTCAAGTGTGGCCTGATCCAACTTCTTCCAGTCGGTCGTAAACCTAGTCAAATGGAAAGAGAAATAGTTAATTAATATCAAATATATAAGACTAAATATTAATTAATTTAAAAATATTGTTGGCAAAAATTTACGTACCAAAAGGTGCCGGGGGCTCGATCCGGGTCGAGTTTGTTCATGGTCCCACGACCGGGTTGCGCCAGAAGATCCTGTACCGTAAACTGGGCATACGGTACAGGCGGGATAGGATCAGCCTCTGGCTCGGCCTGTGCGGGAGCCGCTGGTTCGGCTGGTGGTGGTGGAGGCGGTGGCAGCTGCGGAACAACGACCGGTTGGGAAACCGTCCGTTGTGTTCCCGAGGACTCCGGGGTGGCTGAGC